GTGGGTGTGGGTGTGGGTGGGTGTGGGTGTGGGTGGGGGTGGGGTGTGGGTGTGGGTGTGAGTCTACAGTAAAAGGAGACCGACACCCACACCCACAACTTCATAAAGACTCTATTTCATTAATTTTTCTTGGTTGTTTTCTGTTGTAACATCGTTTATTATGTGTTTTTTTTGGTTAAAAATAATCGAAAGTTTCCATATAGAAATTAAAAAAAAATAAACATCTTTTATTTAGTAATATATCACATAAGGCTTTATTTATTTTAAATTTTTTTTTTCTAGATTTCTTTGTTCACGAATGAATTTCGAAGAAATAGATTATACAATCATTAAACTAAACGAAAATTATTCACAATTTGTTAATTATCGAATATTGACTTTTATTCTCTAAAACGTCGTTCAAAAAAATAAATATTATAAATTATTTTTAAGCATACCTCGTTATATCATATCGTTTCTTCATTATAGAAAATTTATGAAAAAAAAAATAACTAGAGAATATTGATGATGTATTCGACTTAATTGTTATCGCTTATATGAAGATTTTACTTCTTCTTATCATACATGCTCATCTAAAAATAATAGTAATTCAACAATTAATTATGATTCAATTGGTGTCGAATTATGATATTATACTTGTCGTTCTGTTTTCTCGAGAATATTTTGTCTGATTGGTAATTCTCAGAAACAAAAAAGGGACATGCCACAGGCAGGAATCAAACCTGCGTTATCCGGACCACAACCGGATGTACTACCATTATACTACCGCGGCGCAATAGTCTTTTCCAAGATAGCCTTGTAATGATGATCAATGCTTTATGTCGCTTTTATCAATACATAGTACATATTGACTCTAAAATCACATACCTGCTCATTAGGCGAAATTAATCGAACAAGGTCCAAGAATAGCGGTGCGTCTGTTTTTTTTAGATACATTATTGCAAAATCCTTTTATTTATTTAAAAAAAAAGAAAACCTAATATCAGACAAAAACAAGAACAAAAATTACAGAAAAAACCATCCAATGTCTCTGACAACTTAGGGATGAGTTTATTTTTTCTGTTCTTCTGCAGGTTTTGTAGCAGGTTCGTTTTGTTCAATATGTTTTGTAGCTTCTTTTAGTTCTACATATGGTGCTTCTATTTTCATATGACCATCATCAGTCAAATGTGATTGAAGTTGTTTAACTTGTGTACCTGGTGGTAATGTTGTTGATTTGAAAAAGAATGATCGTTCAAAACTATTACCATCTTTATGTCGACGTTCACCTTTGATGATCAATTCATTATTCTTTACTGATACTTTGATTTCTTCTGGTTTATAATTTTTCATTTCTATAGACATTTCAAGTTGTTTCTTATTATCATCTTTGTCAATAATTCGTGGTTGAAAGTCTGAACCATGTAAGAAACTGCTATAATCAAAATGTGGATCTCGATGTTGACCAAATTGACTTAAGTATTGATTTTCATTCTTTGCTTGAGCAACTCTTCGTTCAGCTTCAGGATTATGAACAGGAACTTCAATAACTAATATATTATTTGGTGTTACATATGATACTAGACGACTTGTATCTACACGAAGTAAAAAAAAAAGACATGAGTATTAAGGTTTTATTAAAAAAATAAGTTTTTACATACCAGCATGTTCTGGTAATTCATATGATTTTCGTAATTCTCGAATATTATAATCACCATCAGGTTGACGTTCTTCTTGTTTAGCTTCGACAATTACTTTTCCACCTTCAACCCTTGTTTTTATCGTTTCTGGATTGAATCCAGCTGCATTCAATTGAACACGAAATTTTTCTAAATTAGGTGCTATAGGCATTTTATTTCTGCTTTTATCGCCAGTTTGTATATTGCCTGATGATTGCA